CCTGACCAGACAGCGGTGGCAGGCACCAGGGCTAAGCAGAGACCCCTACCTCGTGCTCAGCCCCGGTTGAAGCGCCGTGCAAGCCCTATTGCACAGGGACTTCGGGAGCTAGGTATGAACATGCTACTACAGGTCTTCATGAGGGTGCACAGTGACTCCCATCTAGCACAGTTGTGTGGTGATGATAGAGAGCTGGGAATCCTCCATTCTTTTTTTTTTTTTTTTTTTTTTTTTTAGAATCACCCCTGTAGTGCTAGTGATGCTGAACGCACCAGACATCACTAGCACCCAGAGGGAGGCTCCTGTCTATTGGTGGGGAGCATCACCTGCTGGAAAACGGGTCCAGCGTCCCTTTACAGAATGCTTTGCAGGATAGATGTAAGTTGGATGAACATTGGATATTAGACCTGCCAGCATTGATTACTCTGGATACCAGAGGATTGACTGCGCAGGTTGCCCTGTGCCTGATTCCTTCTCTATTGCTAGCAAGGGTGCCAAGTTCCAGTAGTGTTTTCGGTGGACCAGTATGGTGTATATGGGAGAGAGGAGGCTGATTCTGCTCCCGGGGGGCGACCGGGGCAGATTATCAGTCCTCCTTAGTCCTTTATACCTCATAACCTGTTCACAGAAAACTCTATTGGAGAGGTTACCCTGTGTCACGACCATACCAGCTCAATTCCATCAAGGCATTATTGGGTAAGGGAAAAAGGTCTGGGAATTCGGAGGCGGGGGGAGCGGGATGTTATCAGGGATCACCGTCCAATCATGGAAGATCAAACGGTATTTTTTCTGCGATGTATCCAACCGGTCGTTGTCTTCCAGGTGCCAGCCATCCCACTGAATCCTCGCTATCCATCCTCCCTGTTCCCCCCCTAGCCAGTCCATGCAGAATACATGTAGTTGGTAGACAATGTCCGCTCTTTTTGTGAGAGCTATCATTTTTTGCACAGTTTTTTTCCACTGGGCTCTGATTGTTGTTTCTATCATATCTTTTATCATTTCCATCATCTCTCCATTTTCCACGTGAGCGCCTTCAAGTGCCAGGGTGCATCTGCGACGCCATATGGCCCATAGGACCGCTTCCCTCCCGGCCTTGAATAGATTGGCCGTGAAAGTCGAGGTTTGAACAGTCCAATGACCAGTTAGCAAAGCTCTCCATTCCCACGGCCAATCGCTGTCTACGCCTAGCCGGTTCCAGATCCTGACCCACACCCGCCACATCAGTATAGAGGCCGGGCATTGCAAAAAAAGGTGTTCTATTGTCTCACTAGCCTTACGAGAAGGGAAACCCTCATTACACGTCAGACACCAAGGGAGGCCAAACCTTTCTGTTCCAGGTGGGTGTGGTCAATGAGCCATGCGTTTGTGGGCAGGCAACGATGGGTAATCTGCCATTGAAGTGAGGTAGTTTTAGCCGGTTTGGCCGTTGTCCCTTTGAACCACTTAATAGGTGATAGGGAATTCAATGGGACATTCAGTTGTCTAGCCCACCGGTCTACTATACGGTCTTTTAGGTTAATTTTGGTCCTGAGCATACGGTAAGAGGCCTTGACCCCTAGTGAATGGAGATAGCGGTATTTTGGTTTGTCATTCCTCGTCGGTATCTTCCATCTCCACTCAGCTGCATCTACGGGGAAGTCCTGGATTGGTACCTCAGGCATGAAGGCCAACCAGGAGTCCCCTTGTCGTAGGACCCTTACTCTGTGGATTATTCTGGTTTCAATCCGAAAGGCCTCTTCCCGCACCCCCGGGATCAATCTGTTTTGTTGTGTTCGGTAGAAAAAATTCACCAACACTTCCCCCGGTCTGTCATCGATTATTTGTCCGTGTGACGTACCAGCTTCTGTACCCAAACGATCTTCTACAGCCCTGAGTTTTTGCTGTTCCTGCTCTCTCTTCGGGGTACCCCTCCTATTGCTATCACCTTAATGCACAGAATTGCAGGCCACCGAGGCCTTCTCGGCGATCCATGTGTGTGACCCGCAAGGGTATGTTTGCTTGTGAAGGCCCATAGGGCCGGTACTTACCTGTGTCCGTGACATTGAGGGTTGCAGCGGGGAAAACACTCGAGTGGCAGGAATAGGCCTGCGACACTTAGAGCAGCATGTGATACGCAAACCTCACGCCCCCTCGCGGCTTCCCGTACGGGGTCGCCGATCAGAGTTCTAGGAGGGGCGTGGCCAAGGATTTTTGGCCGTAAGGGTTGAGTCTCCCGGACGGAACGGGAGGCCCTCGTTTCGTGCCAGAGGTTTTCCCCGAAGTCGAACTGTCGTCGCGGAGTCCCGTGGGGGTCGGATCACTCCGAAACGATAAAATCAAAAAGGGTTCCGCAAAAATGAACTGCCGTCATGCATCGGGACAGAAAAAGGCATCAAGGGGGGGGAGGGGAGGGGGGCCATGGCAGAGGAGGACAAAACTTCGGCCGTCAGGGGTTTGGGGGACAAGTGGCGGGTTCGAAGCTTTCAGGCCTTATCATCGGCCTCACAAAGTGGTCGAACCCTCTGGTCTTTGCTGTGGAGGTGGTTGGTTCGAGGCCTTCAAGCCTCGGCGTCGGACTCACAGAGTCCGCACGAAAGTTTACGGGAGGGTACAGCGGCGGGAGGACTCGCCGGCATCTGAATTCGAAATTGCGCGGGCAGCGCCCCCTCACTACGGGAAAGCTCGGGGAAACGTGTCGCTCCCTCGTAACCCAGGACCAGCCGTCGCCAAGAACATGAGTCCCCCTGGCGACACCAGCGACAATCAAACTGCGGCCGCCACGCGGCGTGAGCGGCCGACCAGGGCAACACCGTTAAACCCGTGTAAGGCAATATTAGAGTCGGGGAATCAAAACGATCAATCAGGACAAACCCGTTCCCCCTTATATCACACGCCCGAGGCGGGTCTTGCCAACACACTTGCTCCGTCTGCCTCAGCGCGCGCCGTACGTCCGCATCGCAGTAGACGCTGTCGTCATCTATGATGGGGAAGGTCGGTGGCGAGATGGGACGGTCGAAGGTACGCGATGAGCACGGGCAAGATCCCGCGTTCCTGGTCATCCGAACCAGCACCGAATCCATACAACAATCGACGCAATTCTTCTCTCTCAAAAGTGGGTGCGTCGAGGGAAGATGATGAACTTTAAGCTTTCTCCCCTTGCGGG